GCTTTTTTCCAATCCATCAGCAGCATTTGTGCTTGTAGGTTTTCGGGCGTCAGCCGCGATCGTCGTGCGTCGAGCATATAACCTCCCTCGCTGAAGGCTTGTTCGACCGCAACTGTAGATGCTGGGACGGCGAAAATCTCCTTGGCCATCAAGCAAGGAATAGGATAAATACCTTGCATTCTCGACCACCAGTCCAAGACATCGAAATTGAGTGGCGGACTTGGTTCACGAGCAATCGTAAGTATCAAATTCGACGTTAGGTAGTGATCAAGCTCATAGTATCCAGTTCCGTTTGCCCTTTCAACGCCAACATTCTTGTAGGGATTTAGTGATGCCCACCACTCCTGAAAGTTCGAAGCGCCTACTTGACTACCGCCGTAAGAAGAAGACCCGCTGCTGCTGCCCCCGCCGCCACGAACAAATGTGCTGGAAGGTTCACCTTGTGCAATCACTGTTTCCTTAAACATGTCATACAACAAATTTTTTGCTTGCTCGACGAGCAGCAGTACGTTAGGTTTTTTACTGTATGTTGGGACATCAGTCGGGATTGGGAGTTCATACATATAATTATAATACATGTTAAGATGCTCTACCAAGCGAGCTTCACGTACCGAAGGATCTAACAAACATGCAACTAAATGTGTATCAGGAATGAAATAATAATATTTCAACCATTTCTTTAACATTTCCTCAACTAAATAGCCATATTTATTAAAATTTAAGTTGTAAAGATCCTTGAAAGCCCACATTATGGCTATAGCTTGACCTAACGCAAGCTGAGCAGTAGGATAATAAACACCAGAAAGCATGTTAGTGGCATTTTGAAATGTTTCTAAAAGCATGATAACCAGCTTGTACACAGAGATTTAAGACATGACATATACAACGAATATGAAAAAATCTTCCGCCGCAAATTGGAGTGCAAATATCGGTAAGTTCACGTATAGATGCAGTATTTGCAGTAGCATTATCAAACGAAATGGAAAACACTTTTTTACCTATTTGATATTTATCCAAATTTTTGAAATTAAACGAGCAATATTAGAAGCAGTGTGTCGTTCATGAAATGCAACATAAGCAATTAAACGTTTTTGCAAACTCCAATTTTCATCTATCCAATGAAAAGTAATTCCCAAATAGAAATTATTTTGCCAATGATCAGATCAGATATCAGCACAAATGGATACTCTATGATTTAAAGATTTAAAAGTTTCTTGCAAAATTACTTTTTTTCCGCCACTATTTTTCGAATATCGCGAGTAAGAGTAGTACGTGAAACCCGGTGGGCAGCCGGATTCAAAGCCATTTGAGCAAAATGTTCATATAAATCACTATCACCAAAGCTAAACGGAAGAGATGAATCAGAAACAAATTCAGCTAAATGGCGTCGATGATTTTCATGTGAGTACTGAAATAAAGTTGGCGTACCTGTACCAATCGTGGCTGATGCAGCGCTACTACTTGGGAGTTGCGTCTGTGCGCTGTCAATTCCCAATTTTGTCGGATGAACCCTCTCTAAGTGTCGTTTCAACGATCCGTACCCATCGCCTTTATTGAAATGGTATTGCTTCTTGTCGTTCGCCGGGCAGTAGTTGCAAACAGCTAAAAAGTGATTCTCACCTCTTGTCGGATTGGCCACCTTCGTGTAATGTTGTTTGAATATGGCAGATGCCGGTCTGGCACGGGCGAAGGCAGAGGCTGGGTGGCCCGGGTCCGGGACCTCCGGGTCCGGCTGTTGCTGTTGCGTCGGTTGCTGAACCTCCGACGGGGACTCTCCAAATATATCATCGAAATGGTCGTGATACGACTGCTGTTGCTCTTGTTGCTCAGGCTGAATTGAGCCAAACATGCGCTCGATCGTCGCCTCATCAATGTCATCGGCGACACCGGGAATATCCACATGTATCGATGGACTCGCAAATTCCGGCAATGGAGGTCTCGACGAAGATGGGCCGGTGCCGATATTTCTACGTTTCTGTCCGAAATTCGAACCACGACCACCACGAGAGCTTGACATTTTATAATTTAAAGAGTAAAAAATAAATTGGGGAAAATTATATAGAAATATAAAATATGATGAAAAAAAATAAATGAAAAGATGTGGTATTTTTTTTTTTCGAATTTTTATTTATTGTTTTTTTTCGAATTTTTTTTCGGTATTTTTTTTTTTCAAAACCGAACACAAAACTAATAAGTAAAAACCGATCACTAAAAACCGAGTGAGAAGAATATAGAGTAAAAGAATAGAGATTAGAGAGAAGAGAGAATGAGAATGTGATTGTGTGAAAAATGTGGAGGGGGAGGGGGGTTTTTATAGGGAAAATTTGGGAAGTTTTTTAAATTTTTTCCCAATTTTTTGAATTTTTTTTTTTATTTCGTGGACCCGCCGGGTCCGGGTCGTACCGGCGGGTCGGGCGGGCCAAAATTTTGGGCCGTTGGATCCCAACGGTCAATTCCGATCCAACGGCCGATTTTATTTTTTTTTTTTTTTTTACGGTTGGGCCCGTGGACCCGGCCCGAACCGTGGTCCAACCGGGCCCAACGGATAGAACGGTATGGGCTGTCAGCAGGGTCCTGAGACCGGGTCGGTCCGGGCCGGTCCAGTTGACACGGCCAGACCCGGTATATATAATAAAAAAATTTAAAAAAAATTAAGATAACTGTTCCCGACGGTCCGCCCGTGGCCCGACCCGGCCCGGCCCGGATTGCCGGTACAAATTTTTTTTTTTGGGAACCTGGATTGAACCGCGGCCCTTGCGGTTCGGTCCAACGGACCGGCCCGAATATGGCCGGTTACGGGCCGGTCCGGGCCGGTTCGCGGTCCGGGCCACGGGCCGGTTCGGCCCGTGGCCATGTCTAATCGTAACTGGTGGGCCGTATGATTCCTACATAAAAGTTTGGGAGACCGATACAGGCGAACATTTGAATTCATTGATCTCTTCTGGTGAAGACGGAAAACAAAATTACACGGGATGTTCCACAATGGCAGTTGACGTGTCGGATTGTGACTGGTTGTGGTGTAGCATACGGGGAAACTCTTTTGTTTGAATGCAAATGTAGACCCAAAAATCGCAAATTTGTGGCCGAGTTGGCAATAATAAACTTATTTCCTACATTATAATATACTTTCAAAGCCAGCCATACCTCATAGGAAATTGGTAAACATACTAATAATGTAGGTAGATATATCAAGGAGCCTTCATACACAAAGGACATTCAAAAGCAAACTACAAGGATAAACAGGGTTAATGGTAAGATACTACCCATCACAAAATAAACCATAATTCCTACACTTAGTAACAAAAGGCTGGAAACTAGCTAATCATAAACACAACTTCTTACAAACAATTCCTTTTGTGCCATCTGCATATTTTGCTCAATGTTATGTGATACATTCATATAGATTATCAATAAAATGATAATTTGACATGTGCATTTGCATAAATTTCACAGGCCTAAAGTTTTTTTTTTTTTTTTTGTTTGAATGCAAATGTAGAACCAAAAATCGCAAATTTGTGGCCAAGTTGGCAATAATAAACTGATTTCCTACATTATAATATACTTTCAAAGCCAGCCATACCTGCATAGGAAATTGGTAAACATACTAATAATGTAGGTAGATATAACAAGGAGCCTTCATATACAAAGGACATTCAAAAGCAAACTACAAGGATAAACAGGGTTCAAACTAAAAGGATAAACAGGGTTAATGGTAAGATACTACCCTTCACAAAATAAACCATAATTCCTAGACTTAGTAACAAAAGGCTGGAAACTAGCAAATCATAAACACAAACCAAAATACCCAATTGTTCCATCACAAAATAAGCCTAATAAACCACAGATATTGATTTAACCTGCATGCACACCATCAATGGCCCCGGGACTTGATCATCGTCTGCACAAAAAGCTTTGCCTTTTGAGCCTTCAACTCAAAAAGCCTCAGGTACACCTTCATCTCTTCAATCTCCAGATTCTCCAATGCCTCATCGTCCTCCTTATTTCCCATTTCCCCCTCCTTGTCCTCAACAGCTGGAACATCGCCTAAACCCCTCAACAACTCGGACCCACTTCCAATGCCGTTTTCTTTCTCGGCCCCACTTCCATTGGGGTTTTCTTTCTCGGACCCACTTCCATTGCCGTTTTCTTTCTCAGCCCCCCACACTTTCTCCGACAGATCGTAGGCTTCCCGCTCATGCTGGCTCGTAAAGGTTCTTCCTTTACCATCATGCTCCTTTCTCTTGTTATTCGTATACTTCTTTTTCATCCTAGAAATCTTATCCCTCAGCTGGGACCTCGTCGCCTCAATTTGCAAATTCTTCTTGATAAACTCAAAAAAAGCGTCAAAATTTTCATTTAGGTCGGATTTCTTCTGGGCCCTGAACTGGAGAATTCCGTTCAGGATAGTGATTTCGTCCGCCTCACTCCATATCCTCTGGAACGGTTGTTTCTTCTCGGGTTCAGCCTTCTTACTCTTCTTCGACTTCTTGGTGACAGCGGGCTCCGTCCCCTTATCCTCCTCGACGGCCTTCTTCCTGGTAGATCTGGCCGCTGAAGCGGAGGCGGCGGCCGGCGGTGGGGAAGTCTTCCGGATCTGTTCGGGCTCAGATCCGATGTCCTCAGACGAGGAATCGTCGGTTTCCTCGACGGGCTCACGGGCTTTCTTGCTGTTCTTCGACTTCTTGGTGACAGTGGGCTCCGTCCCTTTAACCTCCTCGACGGCCCTCTTCCTGGTAGATCTGGCCCTCGACTTCTTCGACTTGGAATTTTTTCTGGCTTTCCTGTCGGATTCGGATTCAGAATCCTGGGCGGGTATTATGGCGGAAGGGGTTTGGGGTTGGGGTTTCGTCGCGGCGGCCGGCGGTGGGGAAGTCTTCCGGATCTGTTCGGGCTCAGATCCGATTTCCTCAGACGAAGAATTTTCGGTTTCCTCCTCGCCAGAAGAGGAGACGGGCTCACGGGATTTCGCCATTTTACGGTGAGAAAATTATGATGTTAGGGTTTTTCTTTGGAGGGGACAGAATGAGAGTGAGTGGCGAAGTAGTGGTTTGATATATAGGTTTTAGTTATTTTAGTAAAATATATTTGGTTTGATATGATATTGATTTGATATGATATATAGGTTTTAGTTATTTTAGTAAAATATATTTGGTTTGATATGATATTGATTTGATAGTAGTTATTTTGATAATTAGATATTTGATTTTATTTGTTTTTTTATCTCTTGCAATCTCTAGATGTAATCTTATGTTATAAGAAATGAAAAATACATATTTTTTTCTTTTCTATTCGATGCATTTTCTCTACGCATTCAAATACCGGAACGCCCGACCGGCTTAAGCTCCCCGAGCCATTCAAATACTTCGAAAGGTAATATATATTAACTAGTTGTCTACCGGCTGTGTTAGTCATAAAATTTAGTCTTTTATGGGTAGAAAATTTGTCCAGCATTTAAATTATCATTTTCATTGTCTTGAAATTGTTGAAATGAAGCTTGGTATTTTTAGTCTATAATTATAAAATATTTATTGCTTTTTTGTCTGCAAAAAAAAAAAATGCAGCTTAAAATGTGTCAAACCTTAATACATATATGTGGCTGACTCGAAGAATACAAATACATACGTTTGTTAGCATTTCTAAAAAAATAGGTTGAAATTGCTTGATATGAATCCATCATAAAGGTAGAAGTCTCATAACATAATAAAATATATAACAATCACATAAAATGTAAAAAGATAGTGTTTCTTTCACCATTAAATCCTTGAAGTTGCGTAAAAGCAAGAGATTACACTTCGACTTAATTTGAACACTGAAAGCAATTACTTCATGGTATGAGTACCTTTTTTTTATGCAATTTTCATTTAAAACTAAACTTTTTGAATTATAGGCGCGCTTACCAAAATCTATATAAAAAAATGAATTATAAAAAGTGAACAAACGACAACCATGAAAGAAAACAAATGTCTTTATCATTGCTCCCATATTCCAATCGTTTTCCACGGACAAAGATGTTAAGTCAGCATATTTCACAACTGTGCACGCACAAGTGGGCCGAGTCTAGTCTCCATTTGGTTTTTTTAATTTATTAATTTTTAGACAGGGCCACACAGTTTAAAAATAATTAGTTTATTCAATCTTTTGATTATCACGAAATTATAGATAGGTGTACATATTTTTTTTTTTTTTTAAAAAAGAAAGAAATGAGCTGAGAGTAAATTGTATGTATATTTCATTTTCAAAAGTAAAGCCGCCTCATCATTTATTTTCCATCCAGAACAAATTTTTCTAATTCGTGCCGACTCCTTACGCTTTACTCTAAATGGTTTATACCCTTTGAAGTTCGTAAGAGGAACTCTTGCTTTTATATGACAACAATGTTATGTTGTTTATTGATTGAGATGATTAAACGAAATGGGCCCAAAGAGAATAATGTGACACATTTAACATAGAGATAATTACGCCACCTACAAGAGCATTTCAACATAGAGATAAATTAGCCCTTTAACATAAGGGCCCGAACAATTAGGCTTTCTTCTTCACCACTAAAAGGCCCAACATTTTCCTAATGTGTTTGTTAATGGTAGAAACACTGATGAACTGCTGTAAGCAACACAAACTCGGATCATTGAAGGCTTTACATTGTCAGTCGAGTAAAGCAATAAAAAGTCATTTCTCCTCCCTTTTTGGTTCATTGTTAACTTCAAGGTGAGATTAATATTCACAAAAAGGAAAAATAAAAGGCACCAAGAAATGTGTATCTCATACAATGTTCATAATAGTTACAATGAGAAAGTTCATTAAAATGTCAAAGTCTGAACAAACTCAAGTTAAGATTAAAACCAATTTTCCAACTTACAACGCCGAAGCATTATATTTATATTTACAACTAGCTAATACAATATGTTATTACAATTCACTATCAGTTATTGACTGCTTATTACAATGCGTAGAAGAATTTTGTGGTGTGTGTGACCAGCAAAAGGATTGGCCGAGACAGATGGATGATGTACCAAAGTTTTTAANCATTGGTCAAGTTTTATTACATTGTTTGAATATTTCATGGTGTAACACAGGACTATAAAACATAGAAAACAAAATAAAAATTTTAGAAGCGTATATAAAGGATTCAATTACTAAATGTAACAGGATATAAAAAAATACTAAAAATTATAATAGCGATTTCGAGCTCATATGAAAAAGTCTAATATGAGTTCTGCCGACGAACACCATACGAACGATTCTCAACTGCCAAAAATCCGTCTTCTATAAGTCATATGGTTCATTTTAGTATGATTATTTTGTAATTTGACATGCGTCGCTATTTTGTTTGGAATTAGAACACACAGTCACAAATTAAAATATTAGGACTTTCCTAAATTTTAGGCGCCAAACGTCACACGATATTGCAGCTAGGGCTGTTTTTCGAACCAAACATTCACGAACAAAGCTCGTTCGTGTTCGATAACAACTCGTTTGTTTAGTATTCGAACCGAACACGAACATAAAATTACGCTCGTTTAGTTATCGAACGAACACGAACATGTTTGTGAACTAATCGAGCGTTCGCGAACAAAAAAAATATTTTATAATTTTATATATTATATATAGTATAGTATATACATGTATAATATAATATATAAACATGAATATATATTAAATATTAAATAAAACACAAATATTTTATAATTTTATCTACCTTTTCTTCTTATTATATAAGAAAACTGGAAGGTAGCTAGAAACTTGACACGTGGCTTAATGTTTGAGCTCCTTTTACCTCATTGCTAGAAACTTGACACGTGGCTTAATGTTTGAGCTCCTTTTACCTCATTGCTATTTGCTTTTGGCTCTTGTTTTTGCATCCGTTTTCTTATTTGATTCTTTAATGATATATGTCCTTACTTCTTCTTGCTTTTTTGGATTGACTAAAATGTTCTTATGTCCTTATTTCATCTTGCTTTTCTGGGTCAGTATAGTCATTTCACGTGACAACCTTTGGGCTTCTTTTGTACTTCTCTCTCTTTTTCAATTTGTCTACCTCCTTCTGCATCATCTGTATGTAATTATTATTAGAGTGGTTAATCTACAACCATATATGTTAATTTATATTTCTCAAATCAAATAAAATTCTATATTACGTAGATATAAAATAATTAATTAAAAAATATATAAAGTTTAATACAAAGTAATAATATCACGTCACAAAAAACAAAAATAGATCTGATAAAATTAAAATAATTGATTGAAATTTTTTAAAAAGTTTAATCGTATATTCATATGAATTATTGATATCCCATGTGGTAAGTAAATAATTATCAAAGAAAATAAAATTAAACAATTAAAAAGATGCTTAAATAATTTCTTTAATTATTTCTTGGCAAAATCATAATATTTTAAGTAAATACATATACACACACGCAGGCGATGTAGAATAAGAAAAACGTGCACACAGTACAAAGGCATTCAAAATAAAAAGTACTTAATTAAAAAACAACTATCTCGATTTTAATTACGTACCTTAATCAAATTTGTTCTCCTCATAGAATTTACATAATCTTTTGATAAAATTGATATTATATTAATTACATTTTCATTTAAAACTTGCGAAACTGTAGATATCATTAATCCAAATAATAAGATTATGACAATAGCATTTGTGCAATAGTAATACATTTTTGTTGTAAATTGGGATCCTCAAGCATTTATCAATCCACACCAAACAAAGTAAAAGAAACGAGCGAGAGAACAAGAGACAGAAGAGTAGAAAAGTCTGTATTTTTATTCATCGTATATCACCCTTATATAGGGTTTACAAGTGGGAAGCCCTAAAACCTAATTCTCCTAACTAATGGACTTCAGGCCCAATTATCAATTAGTAATGTCCATATACATATATTTATAACACTCCCCCTTGGACATTACTACATCATGTCCATGTCTCGTTAAAAACCTCGCTATAAAACCCAGTGGGAAAAAATAGTCGAGGAAAAGAGTACATGACGTATGCATATTTATGTGTTACACTTGCTGCCTCATTAAAAACCTTACTAAGTAAAACCCAATGGGAAAAAACATAGCTAAGGGAAAAAGAGTACAACACCGGCCAACAGGACCTAATCTTCAAGATTACAATTAGCCTTCCGGGCTCGATCTTCAGGATTTATTTATCGCTCCCTCTGAAGGCAAGAGCATTTCAAGTTACATTTATAAATGTTTGTTGCTCCCCCTCAAGGTAAGAGTATCTACATAAAATCATCATTGGTTGCTCTTCCGGAGTTAATATGGATTCAAAAATATCATCCAATGTATTTCCATAATTTATTTGTGTAACACAAACGGAGTTATCTTCAAGATAAATATGGGGAAATTTAAATAACCAATGGTAAAGAGTTAATACCATTTAAGAGGTCTATAACCAATCGAGGACCCAGTACTTCGGGGATCAATTATACAGTTTATGTCTTTATCCACCAATATCATCTATCAAGTCCAAAGATAACTCAACATACATGAAAGCATAATGGGATATTCTCAAATTTATCACGACATCTCTCTACGGAGAGAAATAGTAAATCTTGCTAGCAAATTCATCGCAAATGCAGTATCAGGCCTGATGCAGTTTGCGTGATAAAAGTTTAGCACAATTGCGCGTAGTAAATAAACTTCAGGTCATTTGTGGACTTCAAGTCATTCGGAACTTCAGGTCCTATAATATCCTCATTTGTTTCTTTGGATGTTTATAAATCTTTGTCAAATTCTAAATATTTGACACTCATTGGTGTTATAATTTTACATCTCTATAAAAAGATTCAAGTAGATTGATTGGGTAAAAAATACTCCTTCTAGGAGATGCTCGATCTACAAGTCGAGTTAATACTCTTTGGTATTTAACCAAGAGTTTCATTCTAACTCCGTCTATAAGCATGAGCTAACTTATTTAATCTTTTACATAGTGTTCACCACTTAATCTATTTGACCGAGATGATCATTTTGTATATTACCAGTAATATACACAAGGCTCTACCTTGAATTTCTTACTTTACTTCTTCAGGAAGAATTTAGTTGGTTGTACCACATCTTACCAACAACTTCAAATAATTAAACTATTTAATTATCGTTCATCTCGGGTACTCGAGCCCATCCAGGACTTTTCACATATGACTCGGTAGTCATGTTAATGATGCTGCCATAAATATTAACTTGCGGAATCATTGCTAATGAGAGAACTTATAAATATTTGGGTCTCTGCATAAACCCATGAGCATAATCTCGCTATATTTACGTCATACCACCACATCACATGTTTCATATAAATATTCATTATCCTTCTGGGATATGCTATCCTCCTGGGATATATCGTGTAGCGAGTGAAAGCTCTGCCTCAATTTTTCTTTCTATCTCAATCAACTTAAGCGCTTCTAGCACTTCTATTCTTTTGATCCGGATCATTATTTGAGACAGTTAAGAAATCACATAGGCAAGTATGTTGTCGACAACTGATATTCAATTTATATTTTTCTCTCAACCATTTGATAGCCATATTTATAATCATTTCCCGTAAAATCAAATTTTGGCCGTTCCGCATTTCCAGTACTATAATGGTTTGATGCACGTGCAAGATGTACTGGATCAACTCTTCAGGAGTTTATTATAAAGGAGTGTTAATTCTTGAATATACATTTTCCGCGGACTTTCATACATCATATTAATTATATCACCTTATGCTTCAAGCATTAAGGAGTCAATCATTCCCTAGGGAATTTGCTTACTCTGTGGTACATCTATATATTTACAAATAGGTCACTCCATTATAACTACAGATTTCGCTTGGCAGAAATATAATATGAACTTCAAGTTCAATTTTTATTGCGTGGTTTGAAATAATGAAAACATTAATATTTCACATATTTCGCGGCATTAATAAACTCATGCTCATATCTCCCCCTAATGCCGTGAAATTATCTTCATATATTATGCAAAAAACGTACCAAGGAATAAACTGATCCCCTATAATGGCCTCTAGGTATTAAAAATTCGACGGAGTATAAAAATCATAGCATACCTAGTCTGTAATATAGGCCCGTAAAGGTACGAATTGGTGGTGATATAAAATGGTGCATAATAATAATAAATTGCAGATGGGAAATGTTCAATTCTCCACGCATTTTAGGGGAAAATTATCATAAATAATTGCCCAATGTGATCCAACTGCTCATGCTAATTATATAAGTTGGGCATGGAAGTATAATAATTCATTTCTAAGTGAACACTATATGCTTCAGGCACTAAAAAAAATTATGTGCTTCGGGCACTATATATAAATTTATTATTGTAGCTGTCAACAATATAAGTCAATGATATGCATCTTACCAAACATAAAAGCAAACATAAATAATCATAAAGTCTCAATGAAAACATAGGATAAAAAGCAAAAACAAACCACAAATGTCTGATAGAACAAAAAAAACAGAAATGTCTAATAGCATGAAAATAGACCATCAATAAAATATCCAGTTCTAAGATAGAATGCATATTAATCACACATTGTCACCGTAGTCCTCGAGCTCGAGCTGCAATAAATCATCATCATCATCATTGATGGCTAAATTTGCTTCAGGCAAACTAGCATGATGTGATTCACCTTGAGGAGCCTTTCCTTTCTTATCCTTGAGCATTCTTTGATACGCCTCAACTAGATGCCGAGGAGTACGACATGTGCGGGACCAATGATTGTCGCACCCACATCTAAAGCAAACCTGCTTTTGCTCTTTAGGCTGTGGATGTGAATCGCGTCGATTTGAACGATCCACATCAATGTTTAAGTTCTCTCTACGACCTCCCGGGACGTTATCACCATGATCTCGCCCTCCATCACGAGTCCAAACACGGCCACGACCACGTCCACGACCACGACCGTGACCACGTCCACCACGGGGTGCCTGGGTATGGTATCCTCGACCTTTCCCTCGCACATTATGATGTCCGTGAGTAGTCGCATGTGCTTCAGGCACAGCTTGAGTTCCAACCGGCCTAGCATTATGATTTTTCATCAATAATTGATCGTGTTTTTCGGCCACAAGCAAGGCCGAAATCAGCTCAGAATGCGTTGCATAGTTCTTAGCCCTGTACTGCTGCTGGAGTACAAGGTTGTTAGCATGAAAAGTGGATAAAGTCTTTTCAAGCAACTCAGTCTCGGTAATGTTCTGCTTACAGAGTTTAAGCTGTGAAACAATGCGGTGTAGAGCTGAATTATACTCAGTGACGGATTTGAAATCCTGAAAGCGAAGGTTAAGCCAGTCATATTGTGCTTGAGGGAGGATTATTGCTCTTTGTTGGTCAAAACGATCCTTCAGGGATTTCCAAAGATTGGCGGGCTCTTTTTCTGTAAGGTATTCATTTTTCAGATCTTTATTAAGATGGTGACGGAGGAAAATCAATGCCTTCGCCTTCTGGGCGGGAGTGCTTTGAGATGCCGGATCAATTGTGGCACTCAAATCAAATGAAGCCAGGTGAATGTCGACATCAAGGGCCCAAGTTAAGTAATTACTACCATCAAGGGCAAGCTCAGCAAACTCTCTTTTGGTGATATCAGACATATTCAGAATCTAAAATTTAGTCAAAAGAAAATGATATCAAAATTTTTTAAGAAAGAGTCACATAAAATATTATCGATTTAACTAATATGCTGTATTAGACAAAAAAGGAGCAACTTGTATCACATTTAATTTGCATAATTTAAAGTACTGGGGGGGATATAATATGACATTGCCATATAATTATTCGCATGGCAGAGGAAATAAATTGATCAAATGAGCATTATGTATCCCACATCTTTCAAGCAAAAATAAATATTAAAATTGAAATTAAATAGTCATGTGAAAAATAGTGGGCATGTCATGAATTTAATGGATAATTGGCATCTCAAATCCAAATAAAAAGTAGTGTTTGCAATCAGCTAAAATTATATACTCACATCAATTACTAGCTAACCAAACCTTTAGTAAAATTGAATCCAAAGTCAGTTTCAATTAAAATTTTGAGTAGGGACGTTAATAGCTTTCTGAACAAATAAATCATATTCAAGCTCTTATCATGCAACTAATGGGAAGGATACATTCAGATAAATTTCCACTTCGACAATTAAATTCCGAGGGCCGAGGCGTGGCTGGAAAATGTAATAACATGGCCGACATCCTTTTTAACATATATGTGCAAACAGTATGGTTAAACCATTTCAAGAACATAATGCACAGTACCGATTATCCACAAAATTTATTAATTTTCAATAGCTAAAGCAAAAAAAAATCAAAACTGGATTCAATTCAATCGAATATATGCATGAAATAAGCAATAAAAAAAAAACAGAGCATGCGAGCAATTGCCTTGATTTATTCGTACGACATAAAATTTAGTACGAATTAAGAAAAATAAATGGATCCCGAAAATACCTTGCAGGAAAAACACGATTTTTTTCCTAGGGCAACACCAATAACGAACTAGAGCGTGCTGATAACGTGTTGTAAATTGGGATCCTCAAGCATTTATCAATCCACACCAAACAAAGTAAAAGAAACGAGCGAGAGAACAAGAGACAAGAGTAGAAAAGTCTGTATTTTTATTCATCGTATATCACCCTTATATAGGGTTTACAAGTGGGAAGCCCTAAAACCTAATTCTCCTAACTAATGGACTTCAGGCCCAATTATCAATTAGTAATGTCCATATACATATATTTATAACAATTTTAATGTAGTTGATTTGCTAAAGTTTTACTCCACGGTTATTGTACTGGTGCTTTGATAGTACTCTATTGTTAACACAGACCTGTTTGCTGGTTTTGGATTTCGCATAATTAGTTGCGAAATAGAGAGAGGGAAACCCGGCGGGACACCTAGCCGGCAATAGTGATAGAGGAAGACCCGGCGGGACGCCGAGCCTGCAATAGTGAGAGTGGGAAACACGACGAGCAGCAAATTCACTTTAGTCCGGCGATAAAATGCCCAGCATTTGGTGAGTATTTTGTCTGATTTTTTCGTACAGGACATGATTTCTCTCAAACCCCCTTGTTCTCAAACCTAGCCGACTCACCTTTTCTTTCTTAAAACACTCTCTCAGAAATTGTACTCACTGTGCTCGAGAAAGCGCGGGGTATCGGTGCCGTCGGGTTTCGGGTGGATTTTTCCGGGTAAATGTTTGGCTTGTGTTTTACGTATGCTTTCAATACAGTGTTCTTCGATCATTTTTTTTACTGATATTTTTCGTTTCGCTAAATTTTGGTTAGTTTGTGCTTCAGTTGATTCGCATCTGCAACAGATGTGTTTGCTGAGGTATTTACCTTTCTAATTTGTGAAAAATTTGTTAATGAAGGCACGTCAGCCGATCTGGAGACTCAATTATCGAACAAGCAGGCGATGTTGAAAGAGCTAAAGCTTATTTTGATAAAGCTGCTAAAGTCGATCCCAATGTCTGGTGAGAATGTGTTTTCTTCGTCTTGGTTTCGTTGATAAATGCTTTTCTCCATGGACACTTCAAATCTTGTGTTAGTTTCTTGAGGATAATCATTCTGCATTTCTTTGTGACTCCGCTTTGTTAATCTAACTTGTTCAAGAATATGTAGGGAAGATATGCATTCACTAAAAAGAGTAACAAGTGGTTGTGACTTGTAGGCTTACGTAATTCTTAATCTTACTTTGTATAATGAGTTCAAGGGGGAACTTTAAATTTCTTTTTTGTCATTGCTTTGATTTTTATTGATAAGTAAGTAGTAAGTAATTTTACTACATTACCAAACTCTCCTTCCGAACAATTTATTTTTTAAGCTTCCACCGTGGCCCTTTCAATTCTCAAACACTTCTTAACCTCTGCTTCAGTAAGTCGGTCGATATAAAAGAGGGGGCATTTTCAAACACAGTTGTAGGTCATTGCATTCTTTGGTGATGAGAAGGGTGTTTGAATTAATGAGTTAGGCACTGAAAAACGTACTGGAAATATCTTGTTGCGTGATGTGTCGTGAAAATACCTTTGTGGTACATTCAATCATTGTCAGCTTTTATGTGGAGAGGGTTTTCGTACTTATTGCTTTCTTTTGTGATCACTATCACTAATTTGTGGTGGCTTGGATTTGCTGTAATTGATTCTTGATGGAGTTGCAAAGGATCCCAAACCTTAGCAGTTTACACCATTCAGAAAAATAATCGAGTGGTGTTGTACGATGCTTGGCTGAACTGCAAGGATGGCAGCTGTTCGGGTGTGGGCTGAACCCCAATTTCTGGACGACACTAGGTTGACCGTTTCCATTGCCGTTTTCTTTCTCAGCCCCACTTCCATTGCCTTTTTCGACCATATTATCTTTCTCACCAGCCCCACTTCCATTGTCGTTTTCTTTCTCAGCACCCCACACTTTCTCACCAGCCCCACTTCCATTGTTTTTTTTTTATCTTTTGCAACTTTTATATATTGGATGTAATCTTTTGCAACATCTATTACGTCACTCGCGCGTTGCGCGGCCTAATATTAAAAATGGTGCGAATGAATGACAATTTAATAGAAAAATATTTTTAAAAAAAATTATTGAAATAATGTAAAAAATCAGTTGTCGCAGGCTGCAATCGGGAATGCAAAAACGCACACCACGGAAAAGAAAACCATTCGTCAGAGTATAGTCTTCGAAAGGACTTTTTGCGAGCTCACGCACAATCCGTCCAAAGAAATGGTCCTCAGCATATGTCTCCTGCAAAATATCGAAACCCGCCACAGAAACACGCATGTCCGTCAAGAGAAGGTGCAGTGCCCCATTCGTTTTAGACGAATTAGCGTATTTTAGAATTTTTGCCTCGTTTATATTTCAGGTATTTTTGCTTGGCAAAAATCCTCATTTTAGCTCAGGCGGATTATCCTTAGTTATCTTGGTCCTAATGATCTTCGTGTCAATCAAGGATGTAGGCATTATCGTCTACTTGTATTATTTTCAAACTTCGAGCCGTCGTGTATGATATTTCGATTGATTAATATGGCTCCGTGTAACTAATCCAATTTGTGAAATTACTTAATATTTCTCGTCATTGATAAATTGTTCATCCATTGTTGCTGATTTAAATTCGTTCGTCGACTATCGAGATAGACCGTTCGTGCAGGCCGTTCGAATAATATTATCTCTCATCAATCATCGATCGTTCGCTCGTCGTCGTTCAATTTATAGAATTTCTCGGATTGTTCGAGTTATCGGCATTTTATTTTATTTTTCTATGCCTTATTTATTTTCCGATGACGTTCTGCATCGCATCCTAACTTTTAGATACTTATCAAAATTAGCAGAAGAAACATGACCAAAAGTTGTCTTATCCAAACTCTAAAATGTGGTCTATTCATTTTTATTCTTCTTCGATATATATGCACATTACTTATACGCATTCTTTAGATTTAAAAATTCATTATTGTGTTCTCATTTTACCTTTAGTAAGAGATGCACTATTTTTTCTCTTATATAAAATTATCTGCAAAACCTTCGGCAGAGCTTTGCTGTGGGATATCAGGAGATTTTCCGAACCAACTGTTGAGCTGAGTAAACACGAAGGGCCCATTAAACTTTTACACTTGGATCGTCACAATATCGTAACTGGTGGGCCGTATGATTCCTATATAAAAGTTTGGGAGACCGATACAGGCGAACATTTGGATTCATTGATCTCTTCTGGTGAAGATGGAAAACAAAATTACACGGGATGCTCCACAATGGCAGTTGACAGGTGTCGGATTGTGACTGGTGATGGTGTTGGTGTAGCATACGGGGGGTGTCGGATTCTGACTGGTGATGGTGTTGGTGTAGCATACGGGGGAAACTCTCTGTTGCGCTTCAAGGATTTCAGGACCGCCACCTGGCACGTGCCGTCTGGCCCGTACGAACCAGACCCAAGTGCTTCCAAGTTCTGGGGTTCTCTTTCGGATATCGATAGAGATTCAGAAGAATCTGTTGGTTTTCTGTAGAGGGATTGTTGATTGCAAGGAAATGATAATAGTTCTTATGGTTTTTCTATTGAAGTGTTTTTTGGAAAAAGAAATAAACATTTTTTTAGCAAAATTTGTAGTGTAGTCTGTCACATATCAAGATTTTCTAATTTCAATTTTGTAGTTTGCGATTCAATGTCAGTTTTTCTAATTTATTTTCGTACATTTCATCAGAGATTTTTTCCCTCAACTAATATTGGACACATAAAATTTATGGCTTATACTCCACTAATTTATACATTTTCCTTTCGATTAAAGCAAGTTAAAGGAACGAAATAATAGGCCATAGTGGGCGGAAACTGGATGGAACAGTCTGTGTCTTATAGACTCTTAAGAGTCCACAAAATGGCTTAGTCTGATTTTTTACTACCTTGCAAATGTTACTCCATAGTTTTTTCACAAGGAATCGTATGTGTACAAAATAGTTTACAAATGAGACACTGACATAGCAAACAATGAGCAGAGTGTCCTAGTCCAGCAAAACATAAAAACAAAATTTACAAACAAATATCACCCAAAACATCTACTGTAAGGTGAATTGATGAGCAATATACTTTGAATGCAAATGTAGAACCAAAAATCGCAAATTTGTGGCCGAGTGGGCAATAATAAACTGATTTCCTACATTATAATAAACTTTCAAAGCCAGCCATACCTCATAGGAAATTGGTAAACATACTAATAATGTAGGTAGATATATCAAGGAGCCTTCATATACAAAGGACATTCAAAACAAACTACAAGGATAAACAGGGTTAATGGTAAGATACTACCCAGTTGGACGGACCATCACAAAATAAACCATAATTCCTACACTTAGTAACAAAAGGCTGGAAACTAGCAAAACACAAACCAAAATACCCAATGGGTCCGTTCCATCACAAATTAAGCCTAATAAACCACAGATATTAATAAAATTACAAGACTGCTACCTGCATGCACACCATCAACGGCCCCGGGACTTGATCATCATCTGCACAAAAAGCTTTGCCTTTTGAGCCTTCAACTCAAAATGCCTCAGGTACATCTTCATCTCTTCAATCTCCAGGTTCTTCAATGCCTCATCGTCCTCCTTATTCCCCATTTGCCCCTCCTTGTCCTCAACAGCTGGAACATCGCCTAAACCCCTCAACAAGCTTTTCCTCATCCACACAAACCTCCTCTCACTACCCACTGTCTCCGCCCCACTTCCATTGCCTTTTTCGACCATGTTTTCTTTCTCACCAGCCCCACTTCCATTGCCTTTTTCAACCATGTTTTCTTTCTCACCAGCCCCACTTCCATTGCCTTTTTCCACCATGTTTTCTTTCTCACCAGCCCCACTTCCATTGCCGTTTTCTTTCTCGGCCCCCCACACTTTCTCCGACAGATCGTAGGCTTCCTGCTCATGCTGGCTAGTAAAGGCTCTTCTTTTACCTTCCTGCTCCTTGCGCTTGTTGTTTCTGTACTTTTCTTTCATCCTAGAAATCTTTTTCCTCATCTGGGTTTTCGTCACGTCAATGTGCAAATCCTTCTTGATGAAGGCAAGAAAGGCGTCTATATTATCATACGGGTCGGATTTCTTCTCGGCCCTAAACTTCATAATTCCGTTGAGAAGGGCGATCTCGTCGGACTCGCTCCATATCCTTTGGAACAACGGTTTCTTCTCTGATGCCTCTGGTTCAGCCTCCTTGCTGTTCTTCGACTTCTTGGTAACAGTGGGCTCCGTCCCCTTAACCTCCTCGACGGCCCTCTTTCTGGTAGATCTGACCCGTGAAGCGGAGGCGGCGACGGCCTTGTCCTTGTCGTCGGGTGGGTCGGGCTTTGCTCCAGACGGGGTATGGGGTTTCCTGGCGGCCGCCGGCGGTGGGGAAGACTTGCGGATCGGTTCGGGCTCAGATTCGATTTCCTCAGACGAGGAATCGTCGGTTTCCTCCTCGCCAGAAGAGGTTTCAGAGGAGACGGGCTTCTCGGGCTCACGGGATTTCGACATTTTTCTAGTGAGAAAATTATAAAGTTAGGGTTTTTCTTTGGAGGGGTCAGACTCGGAGCGAGTAACTTTATAGGGTAGAAAATTATAAAGTACGGGGTTTTTCTTTCGATTTCCTCATAGGTATGACTGTATACCGCCCCTACTACTAGTTATCGCGGACGATTTTACCCTTCTCATTTTTTCAAACATCTCAGATAAAAGTGTACAGCGAGAAAAAGTATGTTTTTTCGCGGTCTGACCGGCGATCGCGTACACGAACGGCCGCGTCCGACCGCCGAAACCGGACGGTCCAACTGGCGTCCGGTCGGTCGATTCGGACACGACCGGTCGGACGGCCCGATGTTTGTCCGGCAGCGACGGCCGGTCGTGACCGGTCCGACAGGCCGGACGCCTTTTTTTTATTTTTTATATTTGAAAATAATATTATTATAAATTATTATGTTATATATTCGAAATAATCATGATATAAATTGGACGGCATATATTATCATATTAGGAGTTAGAAATAATTATGTTATAGATTCAAAATAATTATCAAATAAATTAGAACGTTAGATATTATCGTGTTAGGAGTTAGAAATGATTATGTTATACTTCGAAATAATTATCATATAAATTGGACGTTAGATATTATCGTGTTAGGAGTTAGAAATTATTATGTTATACATTAGACTTGATTATCTTAGAAAAAAGATGTTATAGTGTTAGAATTTAGAAATTATTATGTTATAGATTATAATTTGACATGTTTTAAAAATATAAATATTCTACTATATTGCAGGTGTCATGAGAATATTTTGGAGGAGATGGTATTGATTACAATGGTGGTTTCGATACCACTTCATTATTTTATAGTGATGCGGAGGCTATTGACTCTGCAAGAAAACAGACAATTCGAAATAATTATTTCAAAACACACAAATAAAGGAAGGGTGAATGTTTTGAAGTGCCGTAGAGGCGAACGCTACGAAAGCGTGCAATTGCCCTTTTGAGATAAACGTAAAACATGTGACATGATCGACATACTGGATGATCCATACAAGTAGAGATAAAGAGAAGGGTTTCCATAACCATTCATTTGTTGTATATGCTGAGGGTCATCGACAATTCAGCGGCCTCAGAGATTCATCTAAAAAAATTATTCGTGATATGAGTGCCGCTCAGGTGCCCCCGTGCCCCGGCGAAAATTTTGGCCGCGCTGCAGGAAAAAAATTCGGGAGACAATGTTAATCGGCGATAGGTATAATAAATATATATGTATCTTTTAATAAATATATATATATATATTTATATTTTTTAATATATTGCTTTGAAAATAGTTATATAAATTTTTTAATGCAACCATTTACTAATGTATATATATTTTTTAATATATCTTTTAGTTAACTTTTTTAAGTGAATTTTAAATTAATGATAAAAATAAATTAAATTANTCAATATCTATATATATATAATTGTTGGCAGATGCATTAAATAAAACATATTTAATAAAACCTTCATAAGTTTCCCGCTCCTTTTTTTTCAATTAATGTAGAAACGTTACATTTTACATTAATAAAGTACAATGACAATTTTTAAACTAATTTGTTATATAATATTACTACTAATTGATTATAACAATGATAAAAATAATTATAATACTTTTCTAACTAATTAATTGTATGGTCCCTCTAAGTTACAAAATTATATTGTAGTTCAGGAGCAGGCCGATATTACTTTCTAACAGTACCGAAAAAAGAGTTTCGTTATGAGTGTTTCGACACTATAACGGGTTTAAACTATCGTTCCAATATGCTATATGACGAATATACAATCGTTATCACGTCATTCCATCAAAATAAGCATAAGGAAGGTACGTTCGTTATGATAAATAACCATAACGAATGTACAATCTATAACGACTGTACATTCTTTATGGTTCTTTTTCGATCAAATACAACTATAACGATTTGACCTTCGTTATATAATACATTATAAACATATTACTCTTGTTATAGGTCTAATTTTAGTCATTTTTATCAAAGTAAAATAATAAGAAATCCTACCAATATATATTTCTTTCACCTTTCTCTAAAATAAAGGAGAGAATACTTTGTTTTGTTGTTCTTCCGCCATGAAGACACTTTTTTTTGCAATATGAAATTTAAAGTTTATGTGTAATGATCAATTTTTTTTTCTTGAAGAGAAAGCAGAGATCGTCTCTCTCGCGCGCGCAGGTAAGTTTCTGATTTTCTTTTCTTTCTTTTTTTCTTTTTGATATCTATCTATATATAAAAAGGTTGTTGGTTAAATCCTTTTTGGAAACTTTTGACCAAATAAATAATATATTTGACATTCTATTTATAGAAAACTTGAAAACAATAATGGTGTAGTTTTTTCTTACAGAAAATCACAATTTGAATTCAAAATTAATGGTGTAGAGATAATGTTGGAACAATAATATGTGGATAACTCATTATGGAATCTGTGGATAACTAACTATTAATCTAAAAAGATTTTGATAATTTTTTATCAAACATTTATTTGATAAATCTTTGGATAACTAAACTATTAATCTAAAAAGATTTTGAAATGGCTAAGCTTAATTAATATCGCAACCCAAGGAAAAAAAAAACATAAGTGAGCCCATTTATTTTTTATACTAAAATAAAGAGATATTACCAAATATAATTTTTGTTTAATCTGATGAATAATATCAAATCATTCCAAATTTTAATTATGTATGCGAATATTATTTCAAATATTTAGATAATATCATTCTAACGCTCCAATCATCTAATATCGAGATATTTTTTTCACCTATTAAATTAACACTAAATTTGCCTATAAAAATAACATACACACTCTGAGTTGTTATTGTATCCCCACTCATAAAAAAATCAAGCAAAACATAAAGAACAAATAGATATTTTGTATTGATGAGAAATCATGATGACTCATCAAGCAAAACACCATGAAAACTCTACGCAATCCAACTCTTTTAAAGGATAAATGTATCTTTTTCGAGCAAAAAGATATTGAAAAATGATATTTTTGTTATTATGAGGTATTAAATTTTATGGGCATTAAAGTCGAATTTTAGGTTGATTTGTTATAAAATCAAGGTACTATGTTTCTCAAATTTTAGCATATTTCTATAATAACTTGCCATAAAATATTAATGATAATTTAACAAAATGTATGTATTCCTCTTGATAACCATAAACATCTTTGAACAAATATTGGTTAATAAAATTTAAAAATTAACCGACAACAACTCTAGGAAATTGTGAGATAATATGTTATATAAGGGAATTTATATATAAGGGAATATATATATATATATATATATATATATATATATATATATAGGGATTGGTTATATATATAAGGAAATTTATCGTATAGTTCAAATTTGGGTTTCAAATTTAAAAGTCAAATAAATAATTATTCATAACTTACGTGTCAATATTAACTTAGGCATAAATGAAATAGTCAATTAATTATAGTTTAATAAATTACTCAACAACTTAATTTTTTTTATTTTGCTAGTTTATACAAAATTAAATTCATTTTAATTAATGAACACTATAAGTTTTATAATTGTACTTATTATTCACATAGATTTTTAAATATATGATAAAATTTTACCTAAAAAATTATTTTATGGAATCACATTGTAGTCCAATCAAATTTGTGAATAAATATTTTAAAATGACACTTATTTTGAAATAAATAAAATATAATTTATTATCAGTTATGTGCACCATACTGGTTGTATACTAATTAAATTGACATGTTTTATGTAATTTTGCATGATATAAAATTCATATAACATTTTAAATAAATTAATATAGGTAAATGTATTACATATTGATTCAATATTTTTAATTTATAAATATTATCTAATAATCATTTTTAATTTATAAATACTAATGAATATCTCTTACCCGTACATCGCACGGGATTCGTACTAGTTTTATAAAAGAAGTCAATAAGGATAGTATAGGTATTTCAATTATTTATATACCTTTATTTAATAGATGAGTCATTTAAATAAAAACCTTATTGAGAAGGTCATTTAAATAAATACACTTATGCACCCCTTGACTATCCCATTTAAATAAAGCGCCCCTATTAATCGGAAATGAAAATAGGAATTGAGAGGAATTATGAAGCTATTTTATTAATCTCGAACTTTACCGACTTTAG